TTCTATGTTTCATTTTATTGTTGACTATTGTTTAGATGGGGAGTGGGCAATTTCACGATGTAAACCTTGAGATTTTAAAATTGCTGTTTGTCATGTTTAGCTTTTTTTTTAATTCTATTGAGTGAACCATTACTAACCATCAAAAATGGATACACGTATCTATATTCATGTTGGCAGCAGCTCTATGTCATACCCTCAATAAGCATGATGCATTGTGTTTGTGCATTTCAGTGAACAAGTGAGTATTTTTTGCTGTTGTATGTCAGTGCTGCACTGATCATGTTATTCCTCTCTGTGTACAGCAGCAAAGGAAACATGTTGTCAACCCCCTCGCCTCCCGCTCTCTCTCTGCACTGTCTCCCTCTGTCTCTCGCTCTTCTTCAGAGCCCGTGGCCTGAGGGAACAGTTGGCTTTCTGAACGCTCTTCCCCCTTTTGTGAGCACACATTGATTGGCTCTATCCTCCCCCCCCCACACCCCACCCCACCCCACCAAAAAAAGAAAGAAAAAAAAGGAGAGCAGCAGCAGCAGCATGGGGTGTCGGAAGCCAGATATCTGCCGGTGCTTCTCCAAAAAATAATGTCTGAAGGTAAAAGGGGGGGAAAAAAACGAGGGGAGGAAATCATCAGGCGGCTGCAGAACAACCTGTCTAGGTATGTCTGCTCTCTTTCTGCTGCTGTAATGAGAATCAATGTGGGTTATCTCATTTCCCTCATGGCTTTTAGTCAAACAGAGTGCCTGTCCTCCTCTTCCTTTCGCTTGTTTGTTGAACAGGTTAAACACAATCCCCGAACACAATCCACCCCTCATAAAAGCGGTTAGAGAGAGGACACACATGAACCTAAGGGGGGGTTGCTAAAATGAAACCACAATTCATGTCATCTAGGGCTATAATTTCACTCACATTTTCAGGTTTCAGCGAAATAAAGTTGAGCTTAAAAGCGCGAGTGCAGCTATTCAACGTTGCAGAAAGTAGACCCTCAGGAATGTACGAGTCCAACACATATTTGCGACATAAAGCAAAGCAGCAAAGTGTGCACTGTGAACACATTTGGACTGGAACACAGCCAGGGGTTTGGTTGGTAGGTTGGCTGTGGAGGATGTGGGCTGGTCTCTGGAGCCTGGCGGTTGTTCATTCATAAACCAGGTGGGAACTGTAAATGAAAACACAGACATCTGCCAGCACTGGCCTGCACTCTCAATGATCACATTGTGCTGTTTTTTTTTTTTTTTGTTTTTTTTTATGTGGGGAGCTTGAAGGACGTGTGGGTGCTGAATGTGTTATGTTTGTCTCTTATGTGATGATTACAATATCAACGGAAGAAAAGTATAAGTGGAGAAAGACAATAGAGGTCTTGATCAGAAAGGTGAGTCAGATTTAGATAACACAAACGGGAAGCTTCAGTGCTTTCTACGATCGCTTGACTCACTGCTGCTGAGTTTGTCATCACACTATTTAACATAACATGAAAAGTAGTCATGGTGAAAACTGAAGTTTCCCCACATAGTCCATCTATAGTCATCATGACGGATAAACGCGCTATAAAGTTAAAGCTATTCACATCATGTTGTAATATTTGTTAATTTAATGCTTATTATGTTGTTAAATTATGAAGATGTTTACAACTGGCAACATTAGTATTACTCGGGCGGTCTAGATTTTTATAAGGAGAGCGTTCTGGTTTCTGTTAGACGGAAGAGGATTATGGCCACTGGAAAAAAACATTGTTTGGTTCTGACTTTTTTTTTTCTTTTTTTTTTAGACTTTAACATTTTCTGACTTTAATCTCAGAATTCTTTAAAAAAAATCAGATTTCTGAGATTAAAGTCAAAATGCTAGTGGCCCTATTCCTCTTCTGTAGTGTTTGTTTTACGTTTGTAGTCATTAACAATCTTTTTTTTTGTTCATGTGTCACTGACCCAGTTGTGAACCAGTGTGTCTGTCTCTTCACGGACGTCACATCATCTCGGCAGAGAACGTGTCTCCACAGTGTGATCACAGGTCTGACTGGTCGATCCATCTCAAAATATGCAATATATATGAAATAGAACACGTTTCTGTCCCTTTCTTTATCTAGGTCGGTTTGGTCCTCGCTCTTGCTATAACTCCCTCTTCCTCTTAAAATACCATTTTGCACGATGAATACATTATGAGATGTCTGCAGCCGTCCCCGTGGCATTCATAACAACTGGGTTTATGTTAGCTACAAGGACATGGGCTCTAATGTTTACATTGTGCCTTTCAAATCCAACACTGCAACAAAAAAAAACAACTAATGCTGTCATAACATGTTTATGCAGAAAGGCATAGATAGAAGATCCCCGCCTTTCAACATGAATGAAATACTACAAGGTTTAAAGTTTCATAGTGTATCATTCAGAGGGGAGCCTGGGCAGGCACAGCCTACGCTGACAGCTTGGCCCCGCTCTGCCTTCATTCCACAAGTGCATCTTCTCTGGATGCTAGAATTTGAAGAACAGCTCACTCTGTTTATTGAAATTCCCCTAGGGTGAGAAAGTAAATAGTAAATGGACTTGAGCTTGAATAGTGCCTTTGTAGTGTTCTGACTACTCAAAGCGTTACACCGCAGGTCACACTTACTCACACACTGATGACAGGGGATGCTACTGTATGTAAAGTGTCCCTCAGTATTAACTAATGCCATTTATTACACCAGTCATACACAATTTGGGGTTCAAAGTCCAGCCGACATGTGACTACAAGAACTGGAGATCAAACCCCTGACCTTCTGGTTGAGAGACGACCGACTCTACCACTGAACCACAGCCTTCCCAGAGGTCAGTGTACTTAGGTTTTGAATTTGTTTCTGGCTTTGATGGCTCAACATGTAGGATCCAATAAAGCACACCGATAAAACCCAATTGTCAGTCGTAGCTGATTGTTGATAGCGGAGAGAGGACGGCCTTTCCAATGAGTCAGCACACTGATCAGTACATTCTATAGAAGCAAAGACTGATGCTTAATTTGACATGATTTTGAAACTTAAATTTATATCCTTGAGATTTCCTTCATTACTGAAATTTTGCCTGGTGGTTAATAGCGCAGTCTTCTGTTGTGTAAAAACTTAAAATACATATTTTTTTTAAATGATTTGCAGGGATTTTAATCTTACAGTAACACTCAAAGTACATGATCATACTCAAATGTAAATAAACGTTTTTCACACATGTATGAACGACATCACGCTCTTCAGTGGCCGACGATTTAAAGCAATTCAAAGATTCATTCCTTGTACCTTAAGTTTGTCCAGCTCCTTCTTTGTGCAACCTCAAAGCTTTTCCGTACAACTTTAAATTGTTTCTGCAGCACCTTGCAACCACTGAACATTTATAGCTCAATAAAATTGATGTGGCTTTAGTATCCAGGAAAAACTTTTCTCCTGCATCCCGATACAACCCCGGAGAAGTACAATTACCTAAAAATTTCCCAATCTCTTTTTAATGTTCACACTGGCCAATTCAGGGATGGCTTACAAGGCTGGAACAGGCTGAAATCAATGCTTCCTGTCACCTTTTAGCAGGACAAATGGCGCCTATTGTTCCAGCCCAACCTCCCACCCCCTGAGTTAGACAGCTGGGGTAGATGCACAGATCTGAAGGAGGGGAGTCCAAACAGACCAGCAGAGAGTGTATCGATACTTTGCAGAGTTTTTGTTCCCATTAAACATACATCATCATAGCTCTTATTGCTAATATAAGACATATTTCTACGATTATTGTATGACATTCCTAGAATAATAAGTCCCTGTTATGTACCAGATAAGTTAAGTGTCTATTTTAGGTTTCATGGGATAGCTTTTGTTGGGATTTGGCTCTAAATAAATAAAAGATGATTGACTGAATGACTCCTTTGATGGAGAAAGGAAACTCCACTCTGATCCTAATCCTCAAGAGTCAATCACATCACAGCATGTTGGGTTGTTGTGATTCTAACTTTTCACATGGGGCGCTTCCAAACAGGCCAGCAGGTCAAACATGTTAATATGTTGTTTGTTATGTGTGTGTGTGTGTGTGTGTGTGTGTGTGTGTGAAGTCTGGGTGCTGTTTGGCACAGTCATGGCTCCTTGACGTCAGCGCTCAGCCCAGACTGCTGCTGCTGCTGCTGCTGCTGATGCCGCTGCTGCTCTCAAACATGTCTTTGTTATTCAGAGCTTTCCGTCAGAGAGCGGCGACCTGCAAAACACGGAGGGTGGCGTCCAGCTCCCAAGGAGGAGCGCGCGGGACGACACAGCGCGTGCGCGTGTGGGCGGCAGTGTTTTGGTTGGAGGGCGTGCGCGCGTGTTCAAAGATCAGTCTGCTTTGGCATTAATTTAATATCCATGATTAAATCGTTTAAAGACTACAGCTATTTAAATCAGTAATTGTTGGTATTTGAATTATCTTTCACAAATATTATGACTTTTCCGTCACAATTAATATTATAAACACATTATTTTCCCTTCTTCTTCATCATCTTATTCTTATTAATAAATCATAAACAATACGACTTAAAGATATTCTTGGATTTAAAAAAAAAAACGTTTTAAATATTATCTTATTCTTATTGATTAATTAATAATTCTTGGATTTTAAAAATAGGTATTTTTTTGTTTTATCTTATTCTCCCTCTTGTTATTATTGGGCCAATTGTTAATACTAATGCTTTAAGTGCCATAAGGATAAGATGTTAGCTTAGAAATAATATAAATAACTTAATTATATTCTCCTAATTAATCTTGTAAATACCGAGATATGAAATAAATACCCAGCATGGCTCATTTATTTTTTTTAATATGTCCAACTAATCGTCATTCATAAGCACCCGGATGGCACCTGACCCGGGGTCTCTCCAAGCAGATCCAGAGCACCAGCTGGCAGCACACCGATTTTGATCCGAGTCCTTGCTCCTCTCCTCTCCTCTCCTTCCCTTCCTTTCCTTCCTTTCCTTCCTTCCCTCTTCCCGATGGCTTCTCCGCGTACAAACCGAAAAATCCGCGACACATTTTGTCAGCAGCCACCGAGCATGGGTCCCTCTGGTAATAGAATAGCCAATGTAATTTGACACTTCAACTTACTGCGCTCTCTCCGAGTCTATTCAGTTACTCACCCACTGACGTTGAGCCCGTTCTCAGTGGCCAAGAAAAAAGGGGGGGGGACGATATTTAAAAAACAAGAAGCCGAGAATTAACCGAGGACTTTTCTGCGGCTGAACAACCCGGTGAGTAACCGCAAAGTTGTCTTGTTATCCCCGGTGTTCCGTCGCGGTGCTTTGCTTTTGCTTTGCTTTGCTTTGCTTTGCTGCTGTGTGGCTTGTTGTCTTGTGGAGGTTTTTTTTTTTTTTTGTTTCCACATTGTTTTCCCAACAATAGAGTGACCACTTTGAACTGGCACCCAGGAGCAACGTCGGAGGCTGTAATAATAACCCACCGCAAGCGTTTTATTTACTAGCTGTAGTGCCGTCCGGGGGGATTGAACCGGCGGCTGCTGTTGTAAAAAAAAAAAAAAAAAGAGCAGGTTGTGCATTTGTGTTTTGGTTAACAGATGCCGCGTTGATCTGCACAACGTTACAAGGCTTTACATTGTAGCATGTTTTTGCAGTTTGCATGCAGAATGAATCATGCGGCGCTGACGTGATTCTTGTCTGTCCATGTGTGGTAATGTGTTTTTTTGTTGCTTTTATTTGAGCTCTTGGATGAGCTCAAAGCAACACGCGTTGTTGGTCCAGTGTGGGGTTTGGTTGTGGAGCTGCAGATGGTGACTGAAACCGCGCGGATTATCCACTTAATGTCTCGTTAAATGTTTATTTCTGAACTTTGTGAAGAGCGGCACGTGTGCACAGCTACTATTAAATATCAGTGTATTCCTGTCACACTGCCGGGGCTCATAGCTGCATGCTTCATAAGGGTTTAACAAGTTGACTCCCAAAAAAAAAACAAACAGAAAAATAAATAATTCCCTGCTGTCTCAGTGTGGAACCAGTTGGAGATTGAGGGGCTCACGTTCAGTGTATGTACCTACATCAGACCAGGAAGCAAAAAAAAAAAAAAAAAGAAGTGGAAATAGTGATCTGCTTTGTCAGTGAAAAAAAAAAAAAAAAAAAAAAAAAGTGTGTTCCTCCTCTGCTTCATGAAGTCCCACTGTACCAGCATCATCAAGCAGGCATGCAGATGTTTCTTGTCTTTTTTTGTTTTTCTGCTCAGATGTCCAGGAGAGCTTTTCCTGTTTTTTTTTGTTATGTTGCTTAAAAAAAAAAGTTCGTTCCCCATTCTGTTTTTTTTTTTTTTTTTTTTTTTTTAAAAGCTGCTGCAGCATCCCAATAAGTCTATTTGGGAAGTGGCTGCTGCTGTGCTGAGGGGGTTGTGTGTAAAAAAAAAACGTCTTTGCAAACTGTCTTGCAATCCAAGGATGTCAAATTGTAGACACAGTTTTGATGCAAATCTTAACGCTCCGTTTTTTTTTTTCTTCGACTGATAACTCAAACTTCCAGTGGCTGGTGTCTGTTTTCTCTTCGTCCCCTTTTCTTTTCTCCCCTCCTCTTTGGGGGCCCCGAGTTTTAGGGCTCCTGAATAACTCTGGAGCAGACCCCACCAGGCTGACCTTCTTCTATTCAAGTTGAGGATGTTGAAACACCAGCCGTCAAACAAAAGACACATTGAAACGGAGATCTGCAGCCCAGCACGTGTGTCTGGGCGCTGGAGTCGACCATTTATTAACTCTCAGTTTCCCACTGACCAATAAGAAGCGACAGGATACAACCAGGCGGGAGAAAAACCTCTACTTTTATTTCAAAACATCTCCAACATACATTTTAGAGTCTTGTTTTCTCTCTCTCTCTCTCTCTCTCTCTCGACCAAAGTCAATCAGAGGTCTGTGGTTGTGGCAGCTTGGATCGACAATGGCAGCACGTTTTTCAGAGCAGGGTGGGAGTTTTCTTTTTCACCCGAGGAGGTGAGAGCAAAAGACGGAAGCTGGAAATGGCCGTGCCACATGGGAAATAATTCAACTCTCAGATCAGAGAGGACACACAAGAGGCCTCATTACCTCCAGCAGCAGCAGCAGCAGAACTGCCCAGAGAGCTGGTGTTTCTCCACCAGCCTTCTCCAATCTTCTCTTTCCCTTCAGCGGACGCTCCTTTTCAGTGGAAATACACCTTTAATAAACACAGCCCAGAGTCCTCCTTTGTGACATATATCTTGATTCCTCTCCCTATGGTTTGGATCCCAAGCTTCTTTTTCCTCATGTGTGCTTAAGTAGCAGGTAAACACGGCTGTTATAGATGGTGTATAATACCAATAATGTTATTGATTTGACTGGGGACTCCACAGAGCCCCTCTCAAGATCTCCAACAGGAAAGAGGGCGAGGAAAGGCGACTGCTCTTCCTCCTCGGTCAGAGCCTGTGGGAGGTTTGAGTAGTTTTTCTTCTCTTTTGCTCAAGGTCCCCCCCTTTTTTTTTGTGTGTGTGTGTGTGTGTGTTGTCTTTGCTGGAGAGAGTAAAACTCCTGGGATGAATCACAATCTGCTGGTGCGGCTATTTTTCACACCGAGCAGAAAGTGTGTCAGTGGGCAGCTGGAGTAGCTCAATCATGAGGTTGAGTTCGGTGTCAAATAGCGCTTCATGTTGAATAATGCTGTGCTACTTGTTAGCGATAAGAACATCAGAAAGAGTTATTTTGGATGACTGTAGTAATTCCGGAAATAAACTTTTGAGTATTTAATCGTCCTGGGAAGTAAAACAAAAAGGACATTTTAATCAGGCGCGGAGTGAAAGAAGATAGTGATACTATTCATCAGGCAGATACAGATTTATCATGAAGAAATAGATGCTAATTGATAGATTTTATTGTTGTTGAAAGATTGAAGCAGTTTCCCCGATTTCACAACTCGTCCACCAACCGCTGTGGACGATATCGCTTTTGGGTGATGGGGAAGTTTTCCGGCGTTCAGGTATAAAGGACATCCGACTGATGCTTCTTTTTGTGACGCCGTTTGTTTTTGTTGCCGTTGCTCAGAGTCCGCCTGGCAACTCAAAAAAAGCGAGAATGAAGTTAGGAGTTCCACGTGCATGCAGACGAATGTTTGTAGAGATTATTTAAAGCCGAATCTCTTTTTTTTTTTTTTCCCAGACGCTAACGGGTAGGATTCAGGATTGCATAACAGCTGATGCGTTCCCTCTCTCGTTTTTTTTTTTTTTTTTTTTGCTCCACACATGGACTGTTTTACTGCATACAATCAATCTGAAACACCAGTGGATTACAAACCGAAACCAGATGACTTCCTATATCCCAAACCGTGTCATTTATCCACAGTCTCTACATTTCTATACAGAGTCTGTGAAGATTGGTGTTGTTATCTGTGATGGCATTTTGATCCTTTGTGAAGCAACCGAATATGTTGTAAGTTGGTCGCTTCTGTTCAGCCTCCAGATGAGTTTTTGATCTTTTGATCTGAAAGTGTGCTGTCTTTTTCGCAAAAGGTTGTTTAAAAAACCCCGTTGGATTTCCCTCGACCAAAAACTTTCTCTAAGTGCTGCAACTTTGCAGTGACTCTCTTGAACTTGTGGCCCCTTTAAATGATGCCACACAGACACACGCTGAATTATTTCACTGTTTTGTTGGTTACTTTTATTCCAGTTAGTGATGTGAATCCTTTGGACAGCAAAAGTAAGCTTTTTCTACATCCATCCACTTGGTTCCCCCCCCCTGCATTCCTCGTGTGTGTGTGATGATTTGTGACGCTCCACCTCGGCAGCAACATGTGTACCGCGCAAGATATCCACCCGACGGAGCGGGGATGGTCAGACTGTACCTGTCAGCTTGACTGTTGACTGTTAAATATGAAGCGGCTATTTTGAAAACACAGCTCAGGGAAAGGGAATCTGTGTGTCGAGTGTGTGTGTTTGTGCAGCGGGGAGATAGAGAGCGCAGCGCAGGATGGGAGAGGTGCTGGGACTGACGCCAGACCACACATCATTTAATCATGTTAGAGTGTGCAACCACTTTGTGCATATTTTGGGTTGCAATGGTGATAGGAGTTGTTATTGTACAAACTGTACGCATGCAAAGAGAGGGAGGAGAGGCGGACTGACAGCTTGGAGAATAACTCTTATTTTGGGTTTTAAAATTTGTCAAATTGTGGATTTATGACACAAATATGCCAAAAAAAAAAGAGTGATTTGTGCTGCTGCTGCTGCTTGTGAAATGTGCATGAACATATGAGAGCACTTAAAAGTTGAAAGGATGACCATTGTGCATATTAGCATTGGATTTGAACGCGTGCTTTCTGCTTAATCCCACTGTTGACTCGCCTGCTAAATCCTGAGTGTGTTATTTTTGCTCTTTTTAGGGAGCCCCTCTCTGCATAATCTCACTTAATCTAATCTATCCCCCCTCTATAATGGGCTGGGAACGATGTGACTTTATAGAAACAGCTTCAGTGTAGATCCACACCAAACACACTGCTGCGAGTGTGCCGGCTGCCTCTTCCCTCAGCCCCTCTGGCCAAAGCTCTTGTGAAAATGTGAGTGACCTCTGCGGCCCTTGTTAGTCTGAACAATAGACCGGCCTGCTCTTACAGCTGCAGCCGCGCTTGGAGGGGAAGTTAGCCGGAACAGAGACACAGCTCGTAATTAATACGAGTAAATACTGTAGTTTAGGCTTAATCCTGTGCCCGCTTGGTAAACCAGGGAAATAAAATCTCTATTTATCATATCAGTTATGTGCAGGATGAAGAGCTGTTACTTTAAATGACTTTTGAATCTATAGAATATTTTAAAATAGCAAAACATGCCTGTTGTTGTTCCCCAATTTTAAGTAGAAACGTAGTAATTTAGTTTAGTTATGTCATGAATAAAAAAGACAAGTGTCAAATCAGCAGGTTTAAAGCACAAACTGTATGCAGCTCTTCTTCAGGTTACATCCTTTCTGCACTTGACGGATATGTGGATTGTGCACAACTGACCGAGTTATTGAAAATATGACTGCATGAAACAATAAGTGAATAGACTGAAAATAAGTAAAAATTTTAATGAGTCATTTTTTTTTTTTTAAAGCTTCTTAACTATGAAGATTTGCAGCTCTGCTAGTTTGAATGTCGTTCGGTTGAAAAATTGATAAAAGTCAACAAAACAGGTCAAATTGCGGTGTGGAACCTTCTCTTAAACAAAGCTCGACTGCTTCTTGTATTCAACAAGCCACATACTGAGAAGAAAGAACACAAAT